ACGGATTTAGTGTAGTACCTTCCACGTGTTTAGGACAAAGTGTTACAATGCAAGTCAAAATATATTGTAAAATTTATTATTTGAAAATTTCTATTTATGTTCGTACTTCATTTTACCTGAAATATAATAGTATTGATAACAAAGCGGCAATGCGTCAATAAAAAACACTGTTTGAACCAAATTATTATTGTCCGACTTAAAGGCGGAACTATTACCTGAAAACAGTGAATGTGTATTTTCCTTCCACATGTGTGGCAGATTTGTGTAAAAAAGCATAAGTAAACGTATGTGCAAGGTGTCGTGTAAAAATGTACGACTGTAATGTAACTAAATAGCGGCAATTGCGCCCGAAAAATAATAAGTAAAAAAACAAAACATTTTTTCTAAATAGCGCCGTAGTTATAATTTAGATCGTCTACATAGCTAACTTAATAGCGACGCAGTTTATATTTTAGATCATCCAAATAGCGGCAATTGCACCTGAAAATTAATACCTTACCAAGAACTCATTTCTTATAACTAGCGTCTTAGTTTATAATTTAGATCGGTTTCTAAATCGTAATCTAAAACTATTTAGAAATAGATTTTGATATTTATAATTTAAATAAATTGGCTATTACACTGCTAGGCAAAATATGTGCTAGCTAGCATTATCGAATTGAAGGTACATGAAACAGACCCAGAAGCCTGCCGACTAATACTAATCTCTCGTCCGTTCTTAACCCTAAACTAAACACCTCAGTGGAGTATGTATCAAGTCTCATTAAAGTATAAGTGCATGGTTATTAATATACCTGTGAAGACAGAAATATATTATTTTATGCAAATTATATAATTAATATGCACACATTTCAACCGAAATCTAAGCAAGTCTGCACAATGCTCCAAGCACCTATCCGCCAAGTAACATTGCAAAAACTAGTTCTTTGGATAGCAATGGGAAATTTGCTGAATATTATGCAAATTAGGTAATTTGTGTGCACAGATTTCCTTCCCAAACTAAAATTCTCTGCACAGAGTGTATTTTTGTGCCAAGTTTTATTAAAATGTCATGATTAATTTACGAAATAACACTAGGAAAGTATACAATTTTCTAAATATTAGGCAAACATCAGGTCAGGGCATCATCTAATTGGTATGTGATGTTGGACCACACATACATTGAAAACTGTGTAAAAAGCTAGTTTCACAAGGAATGCTCTCACACAGGCGTGAACACCGCCAACATCGGCAAACACGTCGGGCATAATACACAGGTGTCATATGTCCAAAGAATGTATCATTTCTGAATATATATTGTTTTCCAGAAGTAAAGGAAGATTAGTTTATTTTCATTAAAATTGAGACAGCATGTTCCAGTGATGTGATGAGGCCATCTTTTAGACCATTTATCAATAAAAAAGTACGATTTAAAAACAAGTTGTATAGGAAAATATAGTCCAAGAATAGCATTGTGCCTTAAAAGCAATACTGTATTTTTCATAATAATGTCACCAGGTAACAACATCATACATACTATGGCTTGGCAGTTTATTTATTCAGCTTTGACTGGATTGCTTTGAATCTGGACAGAACTCATCTCAGCTCCAATTTGTGGATGAGCATCAGTCACACTCAGGCAGCTGCAAGCCACCTAGAAACTGACCCGCCAACCCATGTAAAAGCACAATTGAATAAACAAAATGTACTTGTGATGGTATTCAATACAAGTAATACTCCAATCAACAATCAGTTACTTTACAATGTAGAAAGCAAAAACAGAATATTCTCATCTCAAATACCGAAATTAACACAGATCTATGCTTTAAACTGCAAAAACATGTCAGTCTACATTTGGCTTGAAGTCACTCAATAGACAGCTACTGTACTGTCCTGTCCTGTCCTGTCCTGTCAGTGTGCATTGTCATCCAGGTAGCACAGTATATCAACAAGTGCTTTGAAATTAGACAACAAATTTGGAATTAATATACAACGATAGGCAACTGGCTAACGACTGACTTTTGCCACTGAATTGTACTCAGCAACTATAAATGTAAACAGAAAATTATTAAAGTGAATGTGAAATATCAATGAGTGATGGTCTGCCAATATCGAGAGTCCTAGTCCAGATGAAATACGGTGTGATAAAATTGAACTCATAATGCAAAAACTAAACATATGTCTGCCTCCTTTACTTTTCTGCAGCGCGGCCATATTTGCCCCGAATTTGTACTGGCGCATGCGCATTATCAACTTATGACGTTGCAATTTCTGTGTTTACATTGATTTTGCCTGTACGTACAATAACAAACTGTAGAAGCGTGTTTTGTTGTTTCTTGACCGAATATTATTTAGTGCGTTACAAGAGTTGGGCTTTTAGATTCTGATAAATCACATTACGATATCTTCTATAGCATGTAGTATCAAACGACTGTGATTAAAATTTCAATTTATCGTCCATATTGCATTTTTCAGATATTGATGAATGCAGAATACCTGATAGAGCTGGTTGTCACGAAGATGCGACATGTTTGAATAGTCAAGGTAGTTTCCTGTGTCAGTGTAATGCAGGCTATGGAGGCAATGGTACACACTGTACTGGTATGTTTTGTTCTGTTTTGTTTTGTTCTGTTGCTGATATAAAATCAAATAGCTCAATAGAAAAATACATTTTATTTAAGCGGAATCACTTAAAATCGTTAAAAAGAATCCGTTCACTGGCTATTGTTGTCTCTAATGATGTTAATGAAATGAATGACTGCTTTTAATGTTTGTCTACAATTTGCATTCATGATGAAATTAGATTTGTTTTATACAAATTTTCTGGGAATAGAATGTGTACAGTTTTTTTTACAGTTTTTTCTATGTATAATTTACATTCTGTGAACAAATACAGTTCTTTAATTGCATTTCCTTTGTTCATTGCAAACTTGTAACCTTGATGTCTACTTTGAATTCTATGTGTCCTAAGTCTAATTTTAGCAAAAATTCTTATTTAATTATTGCTATGAAATAGTTAAATGTATGGAGAAATCCCTATCCTGTTATTTAAATTGTTTCGCATAAATACATATTTCCTGCCTGGAAGATATTCAGTACAGAGATAATAATCGTATCATTAAACAGATAGGTTTAGAGTTTCCCTCGCTGATTGATGGTAATCGTGTTGATTGTAATTAATTTGTAGACATCAACGAATGTGACATGAACATATGTGAACACAAATGTGAGAATTTTGATGGTACATATGTATGTTCATGTCAGACTGGGTTTGTGCTGCTTGCAGATGGTATTCACTGTAACGGTTAGTGTTTTATTGATTTATATGACGTAACTGAGCATTGTGTATAGAACATTGTGCTATTAGCAGAATTTGTATGTAATCCATGTTTATTGTATGAAAAGCAGTAGAGTTTATTCTTGATTATGATATTGCGTGTGTGGTTTATTCTTTAAATAAATAAATGAATGGAAATTAAGACATGAATATATATATATATGAATTTGTAGAATGTTGGTACACGTCTTAGTGTTTTTATATGTTCTCAATCAGTGAACATTTCATCATGATGTGCAGACAGTGTTGTCACTTGCATTAAACATATTCAATTAATAAATGTATAATTCATATTGTATTCCATTGGTTGGAACACACTACACATAATGGCAGATATAAATGTACGTTTTTGTACAAAGCAAAGGATACTGGGAACCAGTGAATTGATTCTGAAGTGTGAAATTTATATGATTGTTGTCAAATTTAACCAATGGGTTGTGTTCTAGATACTAAAATTATAATACATTTCTAATGTTTAAAATATCAACCATTTTACAGCATCCAATGAGTGTTTGTTTCAAACCGATAACTGTTCACAAATATGCATAGACCTCGAGCAAACTGTTGAGAATCCAGAGCCATACATGTGTCAATGTGAAGAAGGTTTTTATCTTGATGTTGATAGCATAACCTGTATAGGTGAGTATATGTCTAGAACCAGATCCTGGACCT